GGTGATCTTTAAGGTCCTTTTCAACCCAGGCCATTCAGCGATACTATGGTATGTATGATACTACACTAGGCATTTCCTAATATAAAAACCTGATATTTTAAATCCTCACTTTCTCATTAAATTGTTTGAATATGAAATGTTAATTTTTGAGACAATACTTATTTGCAGAAGTACTTGTACTTGCAGTGACATGGGTTGTGTTTTGAACCATTTTTGGTATCTTATCATACTTGTTTCCCACTGTTACGAAAAGTCACCAAAAATCTTGGCTACTCTCAGGCAATCTCAAATTTCACAGAGCATAGGGGAGAGAGGTAAGTAGGTGTACCAAAACAGCTCAGAACCAACTCAGGTAGAAAACCAGCTACAAAACTGTAATCATTTTGTGATTCTTACACATTTTTAATAATAGGCTGCACTTCAGACACCGCTTATTGAATAACAAATTTGCAAACATGTAAACTTCACATTACAAAGGACAAAAGTTTGAAGAAAGCTATTTAGTCCATTAGAATCTTTTACTGTCTTTTATATAATTAAAACATTCAATTTTAAGGTAGATTATCATTTAGAAGAGTTTTACGAAAGACTTCTGAAATTCCTTATATAGTCCACAAACAACACCAAGATAGCAGCAGCAATCAAACCCTTATGACTGCAGTTTGTTTTCTCCAGCTGTTCAGCTGCATTTAATGACACAATCCCTTGCCACCAGCTGGTACATTTTCCCTTGCAAACAAGCCTTATGGGTCTTAGGGGAGATCATAATCTGTTCCTGACCAGTCCATGCTAACAATTAGGTGTGGGAGAAAAATTAATGGAGATTGTGAACAAGGAAAGTTTAAACAGTGCATCCTCTTGGCAATGCTGTGATGTGACATACAATTAAGGAACTCAGGATACTATATAAAACACTCTGAATGATGCAGACTCTGATACTCAGACTAAGACCAAAGCCACATTTTTCACTCAGATCATTAAAACTGCACTACTACCCGGCAGGCAAACAAATCCAAGGCCAGATGTGGCTGACAACTGCAAAATCTTAATTTAAAGAGCTCATTTTAACACTGATAGCCTGTTAGATGCGTGGGTGAGCACAACTTTGACTAGAGGAATAAAAAAAGAAGGGGAAGACAGGATTATAACGTAACATAACACTTACCAGCAAAAGGAGAGTGGCTTAGCTTTCAACATGTTGCCAAATGCTACCTGTGCTTACAGTTAGGTACCACACAAAGCTAAGGTAATAATTGACATGATATCTTTCCAAATTCTGTTTACATTTCCTATTAGAGACTAAAATTTTCCTATCACTCTTAAGCATCTTCCAGTGTTGTGTTCTACCAAGATACACAGATAATAATGAGAGGAATAAGAAAGAAATCTACTTTGCTAAATAAATCATTAGAAGTTTTCAATACCCCAAAATAAGGCCATTCCAAAATACTGTAACAGTGACATTATACAAAGTGACAAAAGTGCAGCAAGCAAGCTGCTCAAGATTATTTCCAGGTATATATAGGTACAAGAAGGTGAAGAGCTATAATTTGAGCCACTTTGCTCTGCAGAAATACAAAGAATGCTGAAGATGGGTATCTCAAAATGCAGCACCTGAGATAGTTATGAGGGCCCACATCCTTTCCACAGTGGCCTACAGAAAAGTTAGGCTGTTGCTGGTGACCATGTTCACTAGGCATTATCTGTGACCAAGGGCACAGATAATAAAACTCAACTACATCTACTGTACTGTACTAGAAGAGCACTCTTGAAGCTGTAGGTTCACAAACAAACCATTAAGATTGCAGACAAACTGGAATATGACTGAACTAGATCAGGAAAACACGACATTTGTGAACGTACTCATCCCGGTTGCTGTCACCTCTCATGTCTCACACCCTAGCTCAGATACGATTCTCCTCCACCAAACTTCAAGTCCTTTTGTGTTTTTCAAAAAAACCCTCTCTGTTCTAGCTATTGCGTGTCTATGCATACTTCCCTTGTGTGCTGAACATGGAGACACCATTACTCTGTAAGTGTATCCTTATTGCATAAATCTTATTACTGGACCCTCCTGTTATATACGTCAGGCTAAAGATAAATGTCTTTCATTTATTTTATGAAGTACCAAGAGCTCTTAACAAATGAATTAAAATGCACATGGATAGATATGGGTGGCAAACAGGCAGCAAGAGTACAAAATGTGGAAAATACTACAGATGCATTTAATCAGCCAGACACAAAAAATGGTAAAATTGAATGGCCAGACTCAGAGAGTAAATGCACATAATTAGGTAGTATTTGGTTTATGCAAAACCCCCAAGTAATGCCAGGAAATTACTTCTACGTGAAAAGGTGCTGCCAGACACTAATCAGGAAAGAATCAGTTATTGTTCTTTTTTTAATACGAACATTTAAAGACTAACACAATGTGCAGCTGTGTGTGGGAAGATAAACAGGATGCTGGACTGAAGGACTATATGCATATATGCTAAAAGGCAATGGTACCATTGTCTTTACCATGATAAACACATGTCATTGCATGTATCTCTGGATGATATTGCCTAGACAAGTAAGCTACGGTATGGCTAATAAACTGTCACTTTATATCCTGCTTAGTCCAACTAATTGGCCTGACAACCACTGTGGACTACAACTGCTCTGCAGCAATTCTCATCTTATCTGCTCTAAAATCCTTCACTCATGACACTGTCAAAGGCGCTATATTTGAAATAGGAAATTATTTTTGCTCTACTGGTTTAAATGAGTAACGATGGAAACTTTAGCTTCTCCTAAAAAGAAGAAAGGCCTAAGTTCACACATGTATAGTTATAAACATGACCACTAACTAGAAAAGTACATAAAAGCAATGAAGTAATACCATAGAGTTTAGAGGGAGAATAAAAAGTGTCACTCCTTAATATTTTCCCCACCATTTTATCCATAAAGCAACTCTGAGGGAAGAAAAAAAATACACGTTATCTTCATTTGTTTCCCAGTACTTTTGCCTATTCCCTCCCTTTCCTCTCTAAAATAACCTGATGCTCTTCAGATAGCTCAAGCTATAGGTTGGAGGAAGCAATAGGCAAAAGGAGCAAAATCCTCAGGAAGTGCTAGACACAGTGCAGATGCCTGTTTTCCCTCTGGCAGAATCCTGAAAATCTGAGCTCACTGCTGGTAACCATCCCTGACCATCATACAGGAGCAAGCTGAGGGCAGAATCTCACTCTCAGCTTGATCTTTCCAAGCGAGCCTGTCTCATGGCTATCCTCAGGAAACAAAATTCTGTCTGTCTCTGCAGCTGAGAAACCTTGAGCTGGTTTTGGATGTCCAAAGCAATAGCTAATCAGGAATCCGGTTGGCAAGGTACTCCAACAGGAAAAATTACTAACTTTTTTTGAAAGTGCTGTTTATGTGAGTCAAAATATTTTGCTTTAATACTATATTATATTTTAAATACTGTTGCTTAAACTTTGCAAATGGACTTGCACAAGAAGCCTGCTTTTGAAAAATTTTTAACGCAAGTTTCAGATGTGAGATGCAGCAAGCATATGTAATATAATCCCTATGAAATGACAAAACCAGAGTGACTCACACTGTTCAGTAGCAGAAGGAACAATCACTTGACAGAATCAATTTCACACATTCTGTCTGAAGGTATGTTTGGCCTTGGCAGTCTATCAGTTGTATACTAAAATTTTCATAGCTTTGACATAAATATGTCCACTAAAGAGAGGCTTTTTTATTTGAAAATCAGCTTTCTTAAATGATTTGAGGATCTGAAAAATAAAGCTGTCATTTGCAGAGTGTTTTATTATGTTAAGGACTGCCAGAAATAATTTGCTTTTACAGCAGGAAATCTGGAGCAGCTGGAGGTAGTTCAAAATAACCCAGTTATCTAAAGCAATTTATTTCTCCCTTCCTCTCTGTAAAAGAAACTTCACTGGAAGACAGACATGTAGTTCAGCACCTTAAATTTTAGAAAACACCTCTTTAAGAACATTTACTGTTACATTTGCTGAAAAAAACAAAAGCTTTCCCATAAAGTAGCTGCTTGGTGCACCTCTGGCTAGATGTTTGTCCTCATGATTGGGACCAAAAAGGAAAGCTGCAGTGCACAGTAAAAGCAATGAAGCCTGTAAGTTTTACATGTAAGTGTTCCCTGATTTTTTACATAGTGACTACATAGTCTACAGCTTTACAGATACTAACATAGCTTTAGGATTTGTGAGCAACATCTGAATTCCCATTAGACAATACTTAGGACTTTTCATCTAGTAGACTAACTGTAAATTCAGACAGTCTTGTCTTCCTGACTTCCAAACAGACAAGAATTAACTTAAGGTAAGTATGGACTGAACTCTCACTTAAACATGTGTTACACATGAATTCTAGTAGTGACAGTTTAGAAGCCAGTGTAACACTATTCAGTGTTTTCATTAAAAACTTTTGTTTTGTATGTATATTCAGCAGTGACGATGTTTAGAGAAAGGACAGTAGTAAAAGCTGCTTACTATAGAAATCTACAGCATAAAAACAGTTTCACAGTAACTTTTCCATTTAATGTTATAAAGGAGAAAACCAGGATGAAAGTACAGACCTACCCGTTAACAGGAAAGAAAACTGAACAAACATCGTTCCCTGGGAGGGACACCAAAATACTAACAAGCCAACTAGAGCAACTATATCACAAATGAGAGGGGCCACTAGTTAAATATTAATATGAGAACAGGCAATAAAATATGCAATGCAGCTTCCTCACTTTTACTAAATGACATTTTCCATGAAATAGAAGGAAGGTTACTATATTACTATGAAGCCAAATAAAAAGTTAATACAATGTATCATGAAAAGTCAACCTTTATGTTTTTCTTGGAAAAAAAAAGCAGCAATAAAACTACTTATATTGGAATATTTATCTACAGAATTGTGAAATACTTTAAAAACCATCTTAAGGGTCTTGGAAGCATTCTCATCTAAGGCATTGTACAATTGCTTACCTATTCAGTGATGGCAGAAGTGAAAGCAATGCCAAAGCAGAAAGTTTTCTTCTTTCTGGCTGAGTGATGTTATCCATCCGATCAACCCATGTTTCAATCATGCAACTGAGAATTTGGTCCAACTGCAATGGGAAACAGAATGTTCCTTTTAATTTGTGAGTACTTCAGCACATTTAGAAAATAATTTATTTTAATTTTTCTGCCAACTGAATACATTATTCAATCTGGGAAAGCTACCATACAGTTATGTATACGTGACAGAAGTAACAAGTAACAGGTATTTAAATTTTCTGTGACAGTGCTTCCAGGTCCATTAATTGTAACCTAGAAGTTAGAAATGCATTTAATTCATGGACAGAGCACTGATTCAGAACAGTTAATTTCTCAAACAGTTTTCCCATAGCAATCTAATATATATAAAGCATGTGAACTTAACTCTGTTTTACCTTCACTGCTGACAAATAAAAAAAAAAAAAGACTTGTCTTTACCTGAGTCAAAACTGTATTATACCCAAGGATAAGAAAATTAGTAAGTTTCGCTTAAAGACATAGTAGAACGTTGTAGCAAAAAAACCTCAGTAACATCATTAGTGCAACTAGAACATGCTGAATCCAGTTCTCTATTGGAGAACGATCAGACCATTTTCCTTGTGCAAGATCCATCAAGACAGCATGAGAAGCGAAACCCTCATCCTGCAATACGATGCAGACTAAATGGCCTATTGTGGGATGCAGTGGGATGAGAATTTAGAGATTGTATAAAACTTTTAATGAGACCTTTTAAGGTAATTGTGGGAACATGTAAAACTTGTTACAGGATGTTTAAGGGAAGGACCAAAGGAGGCGAAAGAGCCCCTTTCCAAGGTAGACTGAGGAGGAACAAGCACAGCAAACAGAGGGAAAAATTCTTTCAGGTCAAAAGAATGCAAGACTTCCACATGCAATCCAGTTGGAATACCAAGACAAAAATACTTACCTCCTGACCCAACTCACATGCCATCTGGTTCAAAAGTAAAGAAAAAAAACTTGCATTTTGTAGTAGAACTCTACCCATGATCCCCAGATAAGTAGACATCACCACCGGGTACCTCTGAAAAAAAAGTAAACCAAAATGAAGTGGGCTTAATTCAATTAAGAGAAAAATACTTAACGTATAGAGCCGAAATACATGGAAAATACTTGCATGCATCCCTGTAAATTGTAATTTAAAAGCCTTTAACAACACAAGACTGAGTGAGCAAACATTACCAGAGTTTCTCAATTCCTACAAGAGGAAAACTATAACAATCTCAAAGTCAGTTTCCTCCAAACAGCCAAGACAACTTGCAAGGTGATCTTATTTTACATTTAAAAACCTACATCTTAAGGAATAAACAGTATGTTGTACTGTTAAAAAACTATTTTCAAAGTTGATTATAGTTCAAAATTAGTTTACAATTTCAGTAGCATTAAGTAGCGCTTAGTATTTCTGAAGTTGTTGTCACTTATTTCACTGAGAGAAACTATAATAAATCTCCAAATAACTCATTTGCAAGTGTCTCAAAATTAACTGGATACAGCAGTAAGCTCATTAGTTTATTATCTTTTGTTGTCATTTTTAATTTTAAAAGAAACGCCAGATTTCTTTGTATTAAATTCAGCATCTAAGAACATAACAGGATTTTGCAGAACTGCCTACCTAAAAAACAAAATGCCAACATTTACCTGAAAATGTTAACCCAGATTAATACCTTTATGAATAGGGAACAAAGAATTTACTGCAGTCTTAAATCAGAAGACATTTTAGCAATGCAATCCCCAGTTTTGTGTCTTCTTGAACTACAAACTGTTCAAACAAACTGCCTTTTTCATGTTCTGTACAGCAAAAAAGTACATTGCTAGGTAATATTACTTGGCTTAATCTTGTAAATATTCAATTTAACAGAATAATGGGAGACAAATATTGATATCTTAGTCTTCAACTCCGAAAAAAGCAAAGGTCTTTACCAAAAAAGTCAAAAGCATAGAGAATTTCAACCTCTGATTCTGCTGATTAAAGTATTTTTTTTTCTCCTGATCGTACTGCAAAGTTCAACACAATTAAAGCATATTGGATTTTACTGCTTTTTATCCAACATGGAAATTTTTTGAAGGCAAAGAGAGAGAAAAGGGAGAAATGAAGACATCTAAGCAAGTCTCTTCCATCTCACACAAAGCATTCTCACATCCTTCAACTCTTGATAATAGATATGTCAACTAGAAAAAGAAGGTCAAATCAATCTTCTCCTTGTTTTGTTTTTCTCTGGTGCAGCAGTATAAGCGCCTTTAAAAAACCTCAACAAAACACTCCAACACCTGCGAAGGATCTAACTAAGCACAGAGTCATAGCATCTTATCAGTGTTAATAAGCGAAGGAACAGCTGAACAAAATTTGTGCTATTTTATTAAAATAAACACTAGATGACAAAATAAGTGATGGATATGTTGCTTTTACTCTTGTGCTACTATGCTACTTTTGCAGACTTTTAAAATAGCCGCCAAAGATGTATCAAATGCTCTTAAAACAAGAGAAAATGCAACATCAATATGAAAAAACTCATCCAGAAAGTACTTTCCTGTTCAAAGGGAACAGTAGAGACTAGCAAAGAGTAACTCTTACCTCCCCATCTATAATCCCCCTGAATACTGATGGCAGAAGGGTTCGAAACATTTGAGGACCCAAAACAGGGTTTACTTTTAGGACATTTTCCACCACCTTAAGAGCAAAAGCAAATTAGACAATTAGTGAAGTACATTTAAAAATCTTAACTGAAGCTTTAGAACTACAAATACTGGTCTCTATATAAAGTCCTGCTAGGATGTTTACCATTAAATACCAGGATTGCTGAAAGTATATTCTACTGAAGTACCCTGCAAATCTCATCTGCGTACAGCCCTGATAAAAACTGACATGCCAAGTGAAACCCACCCCATCAAGCAGCCTCCTCCTGACCCTGGCAAAGCTCATGAGGTAGGCTGGAAGGAAGGACCTTGATAAGGCTCCAGGAAAAGCAACTTGATGAGGTGGGTTGGCAGGGAGGAGTACCAGCAGTTTAACGCTTATTTCCATACCTTTGTCCTGTCCCTTTTTTGAAGAACCATTAATTAAGACCTACCATCTCCTTGCAAGTAACCATAAATGCTCTCAGATGTGCTATTTATTCTCAGTACTCTGCTCTAGTTCCCAGTTTTTACATTCTTTACCCTTTGCTTCTCATGAAGGTGCTCCCTAAAGTATTTTTTTTTCCCCACGAGCTGTTCCCTGTAGTTCTTCAGGCTTTCCTTCATTCAGATGTTTGGGCTCTCCCCTTGTACTAAGATGGGGAGGGGGAGAGGCTGTGAGAATAATGGGCTGATACCTATCCACTCCTATGAGGAGTAAGGACAGAGACCACATACCTATACACTGAGTGTATAGAGCATATAAAGGTACCAAAAAGGTACCTCCCCTAAACACTCTTCTGTCTCCACCTACTTTCAGCGCCGCAGAACCACCACAAGGAATTACTCTTCTGTACTCTTGTCCAGTCTTCCCTAAATCTTTTTTTCTTTTTGAACCTTGTTCCTACTAGCTTCATTTAACATCCTTTATGTCTTGCCTTGAGAGAGTTGTTAAGCAGTTGACCCCTTTCAATGCCTCTCAATTTTACAGACCTTTAACATACTGTTATATGGAGTTGAACATGACTTTTCCCCTGCTCATTTATTTTGTGTACTGGAAGTTTTGGCTAACTCATTTGTTCCTTGTACAGAGTCTTTTCAAACCTTTTATTGTCTGTCTCGGGTAACTAGAAAGCCCAGTCACATCAAGCCTCAGCAATCTTGTCCATTTATTTACTGTCCAACCTTATCCATTTATTTACTCTTCTAATGTCTATTTAGAATCCAGCCAAAGCTGCTAGTAGGAAAATATTTCAGAGAACACTCCCAGGTGTTTCTGTTCCCAATATTTATCTTGGGGGTTTTTTATTTAACAAATCAGCATAGTGGCACCTGATAAAACGTTTTATCATTTGTAAAAATACTTACATGGATTATAGCTCAGTTATCCCTCTCGAGGCAAGTAGGAACATTAGGAACATGTTAAAAGGATACTGGACAAATCTTGTGGCTAATGCAAGGCCACAAAGGATAAATGATATTAGCAGCATCATTCCATTTTAGAAATCTGATTAAAAGCTGCTGCATCAAACATTTGCTTAACAGTATACTCTAAACAGTAACATTGATAGAGAGGAATTGACATTTTAAATTCCAAAACTAGAATCCTTAAGCTCCTCACAGCAGGAACTACAAATGGGGAGGCCTATCAACTTCTGTTGTTTTCTGTCCTGGGAGTCTGCAAGTAGTCGTGCAACCAAAGAGATAGGTGGGATCTAATTTTTTTCCTTCATTGCATTTATAATGAACTGAATTCAAGTCCGAGATTTTATAAGCAACACAGAGTTCCCAGTTAGTGCAGCCACTGGAAACACAAGTAGCAACACACTCCAGTTACTACTCAACTACCTTTCAATGCATTCTCCAACTTTATTTCCTGAAATTCTTCAAAAAGCACTCAATATTTCAAAAGCTTATGAATTTCATAACATCTCTTTCATAATACCATTTGAGGTTTGTGCATAAATAGCTTTTTTTAGTACTTTGAAAAACCTCCAGCAACTTTATTTAAGCAGTTGTTGCCATTACAATAGCAGCTGATGCCAAAAGCAAAGACTGTTTCAACACTATGTCATGGTACAAATGCCAAGTATGCTATACAAAGGAATGTGACAGATAGCACATACATCCAACATTCAATAAAGACTGGAAAAGCGTGGCTCTAGATTTATTAGGTTCTAGCACTCATACAGAGATGCATAAAAAAATAAAAAGTGAACCATTGATCATGTGCTTATTTAATCACAAAATCACCTAAACAGTTCTTATAATAATGTACGTATATATGCAGACTTATTACTTAACCATTATCTTGTCAGTTTTTCAAATGTGCAGTTACAAAAATTGAACGGTATGATTATTTTTCTTATTGGTACTAATTACTGAAGAGGAAAACGAACACTAAAAAAATTAGTAGATATTGTTGTTTGTGTTAACAAAAGGATCAATACTGGTTGATAGGGTACAGACAAAACTCAGATTTGGATGGCTAGATACAGCAACTAGGTAATTACCTTTGCTCACTTTGATTAAAAACACTCAGAAAGTACCTAGACTATTAACACACAAGTATGATTTTGACTTTAGGGTTGAATCATTACTTAATGTTGAATTTTTGTCCTAATAATGACTTTTTTTTCTGATTTCTGAACCAAGCTGAAAACTAAATTAGGACAAATATTAAAACTCATTAATGAAATTGATTTTGTCCTTTTATTTTGTAATTAGAAGTGTCAGTATGTTTTGTATTGTACTGTGGTACTCTTCACCATTCTGAAATTCAATTAGAAATAAACAAATTGATTAGCTTTCTACAACTTCCATAAGCCCACTGATAGCCAAAGATTAAGTCAAGTTACTTTGACCCAAACACAATCCTTGTTTTACAACTCAATGCTCAAGATTTTCTATACATAGCATTATCTTCATAATGCAGTGATTAATCATCTCTCTGTTTAAGTGTGCTGTCGCCAGGCTGTAGAACAAACTCTTTTCACGAAGAGCCAAGCCCTCGCTAACCACCTTTCTCTAGTAATCTAGAAAATAATCAAATGGGACTCTTAATCTAAATCCATCTATACAAAGAGGATTCAAACTAGGTTAGAACTCATTTACCTAACACTTTGTAATCTCATGAAGTAATGAAAGCATTGCAGAGAGGGTATATGAACAGTGTGTTAGGTGATTATCATTTAGGGTGCTCTATCTAATGCTAGACTAAACTTCTCTTGGGAAAAGTAGTATATAAAAAAATACGTGTGTATATATGTACTCTCTACACACATGCACACACTTCAAATACGTAGTTTAAAACACCGACTTCAGTGTCAGTGTGCTATAAAGCTGTTTTCTTCTACATATTCTACATTCATCATACTTGAAAATAGCACTCTAACCTGACAAAAACACTAAGAATAACAAATGTACAGAGCTGAATATCTAGTCTCTACCTTTAAAACCTGAACTTGACCTTCAGTAGTTATGTCCTTCAGAAGTTCACAAAATGACTGGCATAAGTCAGCAGCATACATCTGAAATTAAATCAAAAAGAAGGTATTATACAAACATGTTTTATATCTATGTCTATATTTCAAAATTCAACATATTAGGGATTATACATGTCCAAAGACCTAGCTTCTCTTCAAAGATATTTACTAAAATGCTTGTCTTTCCTGAAATCACTAAAATCTAATCTAAGCATTTTTTTTAACATTGCAGGTTTTTTAAACAATCAATCCCACTGAACTATCTCATAGAGAAGGTGTGAGAACACGGCATAACATCTCTAGTTCAATTCTTGCTAGAATTTACAATTATAATTTTAATCTGGAAGGATAATTGGAGTAACTATCCCTGCACAGGACCTTTTCAGGTACCAAAGTACTAAATCAATCCACAAATCATTAATTCTGCATGATAATCTTTCTCAAATCAAATCTGAGTGTCTACCATGTGCCATAAAGAGCTAACATTAGAACAATATGCTTGTGTACATGTAAATGAATAAGAGTATAAATGTTTGTGTGTATGATGGTTTCCAATACAAGAGAAAAAAATAGTTTGCCAGTAGGGAACTAAGGTGCTAATATGAATCTTTATACAATGTTAACATACCTGTAAAAATTCTGATGATGATAAGAAAATATAAGCATTGATGATCTTAAAGCAATTCTTGAGGTATTCTGAACTCAGCTCTGGAAAAAAAGAAATCTCATTTCAGAACCTCATGACCAAACAGAAGTACAACTAAAACAATTAATGTTGAAAAGGCTTTTTCCTCATACAGCTTTGAAGTGCCAGATGCCTACAAAGAGAAAAAAGTTATGTTGGCTTCAGTACCATTCAGGTCTCCCTGTCAAAGACAATAACAAAAGAGGGATGCTAACATCTCTCATGTTCTCAAATGGAAGCACAAGAAATCCTATGACCTCAAAAGCCAATGCTAATTAAAAAAAAAAAAAGTCAAGTTTCGGATGTGATAGTGGGCTAAGAAAATATTAAAGACAGAACAAATGAACTACGTACTTAAGAGACCTGCAATTACTGATAAATGATCTCTCTCACACTTGAGTCAGTAAATGCTAGGTAGAAAGAGTGAAATAAAGATTGCAGTTCTGCTCTTCTGACCCAGGTGCCACATCAAATAGTATTGAGCTTTTGGACTGAAACACACTGAGCTTCAGGCCATAGTATTTCAGTAAGGAACACGTATCCATTTAAGAGACAGATACACGCAGGAGATGACATACAGCAGTAGTTTAAGGAGAGAAAAAAAGGCATGTCGTCAGGCAGCACCTGTAAGACTTCTTAAAAAAAAAAAAAACTAAACACCCCAGAACATCTATTAACACAGCTCATAGCAAAACAAAATGTTTCAGAGTTTCACATGGAGGTTGATACTAGTGCAGAAAGCCAACAGCTCTCACTGGAAGAAAAAAAAAAAAAAAGGGAGAACCAAAAAAGTGTCAAAGGGCTTGCTACATTTTCTTAGAACCAGTTTGGGAGACAGACTATTCTTGGTGAAGTAAGTGGCCTTCAGCTCCACCACCTTTTATAAATATTCCAATAAAATAATCATGGAGAGCTCACAGGAGAATACTTTTATAGAAGTTTTAAATTAAATTCCTTACCAGATTAACACCACCAACCAGCTAAGACCTGGTATGTCTTCCATGGCTTAAATGAACACAGCCCGTATGAAACTGTGACTTACACCTACTGATGCTGTTACAGAAAAATTTCCACAAAAAATATCACATGACAGAAACTATGGCTGGTTTTCCATTATAACTTTTGAAAAGTTCTGGGGATTTTTAACGGCTTCTCTTCTTTTCCCTCCCATCAGAAAGAACATTAATGCTCCTGTTATCTGACATGGCCATAGGACAGCTTTGAGTGCACAACTACTTTCATATCTCAATGTTTGGACAGCTCATGTCACTTATTTTGAGTATTCACATATCCTGACTTGAAAAGAGATGATTTTTCATCTATCCATCCAATATACTCATCAAAAGATTGCAATACATCTATAAATTAGCTTTAGTAGTACATTACTATTGTTACACATTTCTTGAAGTTACTGCATTCGCCTTAGAGGTCTGCAGGTTTTTGGTTTTTTTTCTTACTGGATACAACCACATTTTAAGATACAGCAGACAAATAGCAAATAAATGCTCATAAAAGCATGAAGTGCTACAAAGCTTTCCATAACTTCCCATTGTGTGATTCTGTGATAACTCATACAAAGGTAAAAAAGTAGGAGTAGCAAAACTGGAAGAAGTAAGTTATTTCAGGCCAGAAGGAAAAGAAAAAGGTAAGACAAACATGGAAACGACATAATTTCAGTCACTCATCTGCACATAAAGCTCAGTGTTTAGTAAAAACACTCTTCTAGAAAAACATCACCTTTAGCTGATTACATTTAAAATCCAATTATGCATTGCCAGGTTTTCCTGAATCAAACACAACTTTTTCTGAACTAATTAACCCTCTCCTCTGGGTTTTGTTGGGGTTCAGAGGAATTATTCTTGTTCCAGTAACCTGCTTTTTGCCATCACCTTTACAAGTACAGCACAGACAAATTAATCCTGATGCTTCTTGAAACGCATTTATCTTCACTTTGACCATATTCCCCACCTGAAATTGTATCAGATTCAGCGCTCATTTTAAGCAGTCCCAGTGCAGAAATATATCCATCCTCAGAGAATTATTGTATTCCTCCATTCCACATGATTCAATCTGCTGCACCAAGACCCAAATTAAAGAACTTCTGCAACTCCTTTACAGAGCCATTACATTTCAACAGAATGCAAACATTAGCAAAAGTGCTAATATGAAAAACAAATATGACAATTACGCTGTGAACAATTAGTGTACAACAGTGATAGCATGACAATCTTTGAAGTAAGGTCAGTTATGCAAGTAAATCAAACCTTCATATCAAATGCAACATTCTGCTCCTGGATCTTTAAGGATAGCCTTGATTACTTCAAAAGGGAAATCTAATTGATTTGTACAACTCTTTTGATAAACAGTTCCAGGAGCAGTGGTATCTTGAAATGGATATCAAATTTTTTTCAGGACAAATATATCTGGAACAACTACACATTACTTTCAGACTAATTAAAGGTAAAAAATCAAAAACATTTCTATATTTTTCCCTTTTCATCTGACTGTTGAAAATTAAAGAGATGTCACTGCACTGACATGTATCTATGGGGACATATATAAGCCACAGGCCAGTGACAGGGCCATGAAACCTAGTATGAATGAATCACTTAAAAAAAAGCCATTACCTAAATCTCAAACCATTTTTTTATGCATCACACATTGGAATTGCTTCCAACAGATAAGCATGTTTTAAAAATATCTCCTAAAAGATGCAGGAGGAGCAATGGCAAGCCATTGCTTCTCTATGCTGTAAACACCTTGTTGAAACACCTTGTCCTGACAGCTACGTCATCATGATGAGGACAGGAAGTGTTTGTTCTTCACTGCTGGAATTTTCAGGTGAATACTGCCACTTTTAAACTGGAGAAACTGTATTACAGAACTAAGACTGAACAGTTATTTAATTAACTTGTACGGTTGATCATCATTGATCACTAAATTTTATCCTGCAAGGGGCTGCAGCTGTTGCACTAGATTTAAGTGAAGGATCCCTTCCCCAAATATACTGAATGAATGAAGTAGTTGCCTGAGGGGTATTGGATGGCAGTATTGTACTGTTTTTAAGACTACCAAGTTTAAAATAAGGTTATCACTAATCCAAGATTCAAGCTCTATTTCAACATCATAGTGTCACGGCTATGTCATGTGGGTGCTGTCCAGCTAGATTCTCCTGATGTAAATAGAAGGGAATTGCAGGCAAAGAGCATACCACAATGGTTTCTACTTTCTGGCGAAATGTACACCATTTTGTCCTACAGTAATCAAAACTTTTGGCTGACACAACACTCAGAAAACAAGTTTCTCAGAAAAATGCTCAGGAAGTAGTACCAGAAGTCTGTATGAAGAAATTGTTCTATGATTAGACATCACCTGCTGTGTTTTTGCCACTCACCCCCATCCCTAATTAAAAAAAACAAAAACAAACATTTGACATAAGCGTGTTTGAAGACTCACCTTAAGGAAAAGATACCTAGCTTAACTGTACTACTTGCTGTACCAGCATCATACAACAGCTTTCATTTTTCAGAACAAGGAACATTCTCTTGAGGACATATTTTTTCCAAAGGAGAGTGTTACTGTTCTCCAGGATTCATTCATAAAATAAGGAAATTTTTACAAGTGTAGAATATTCCTGAATACCTCCACCTTTTGTTAGAAGAGTATGCCAGGGTCTTCATTCACACTCATCTCTACCCTGGAAAGTATGGCATGAGGACTAGGAAGGACAGGGTGGGGAGAAAAGAGCAGTAGCAAATGTAAACAAGCCACAAAGAGTATTTCTGAATTTAACTCAAGCAGATTGGCAATCTGACACAATTAGGAAAATCACAATCATTTGTATAGTGCAAGCTTCCTGTAGCAGATACTATCTACTACTAACACAGAACAAGAAGGAGGAAGGGTAGGTGTGTAGATACGAATGAAGACAAACAGCAAGTATTTGTCAGCTAGAGAACGTGAAAGGTAGCTCTGGAGTTAAATACTAAAATCACTACAAAATACTACTTTCCTGAGCAGTTTTGTCATTAGAGATCTAGTACACAGAGAAATAACAGAAGGTGTCATCTTGCACTTTCCCACCATGATGCAGCTTTCTATTGTTTAGTCACAACAAAATATTTAGTGCTGAAAACATCAATTAAAAAACTCCTGTAATTTTATAACCACGTTCCCCTAAAAATCCAATCCATTTATTAGATTAGCTCCACAACTTAAAAAAGCACAGCCAGAGAGCTCATTAAACAAAAATATGTTTACATAATAAAATTAAACAAAAGAAATTGTATACTCCCTTTAACTACAAAGCAAAAGCACCCCAAATATCAGTCTTTCCTAAGCACTGAATATTAACCCTCATTAAAAAGTTTGCATTTTGTCAACAACTCAGGCAAAACTACTGCTTTTAATTTCAGTGCTGTTTGACTGACATGCTAATAGCCATATTTAGGTAGTTTGAAAACATCGTACATAGTTATTAACTGATTAATGGAAAAGCTAATAATGAAAACTTCAATTCTTTAGAGTAGAAATCATCATTCTGGTTGTATGCAGAACAGGCAAGTATTCCATATAATCAATATCACTAAGACTCACCACATTGCGTGTTAAATTTCAGGAATTTATTTAAAAAAACCTCTGAAACGATACACTTGAATTGGTCTTATCTTTTGGATACAAAGCAGCTTCAATTTATTAAAAAAGAGAACTAAGGTAAGCAGACAATAAATATTAAGTAAGAAAGTCAAACAAAAACCTGTTCTGCATTTTTTAACAGTTACAATTTTGCAGGCCCCCTTAGTTCTTCCAGTAGCCACAGCAGCATTACTTAATGCATGAACAAGACAAGCAGTACAAAAAAACCCCACAAATTAGTAAAATTCTTACCAAGAAGTGCAGACATGTTCTGAAATATTGTCAGGAGCTCAGGTGTAAGACATGGACTATTCTCCAATGTCACTAACCTAACAACAGATTAAGCAAAATATTTCAGGTGATCTATGAATACATCTTTTAACAGATGTAGAACATTGTAACTTGTAGTAACCATCTATATAATCCTTAAATAACTTGTAACAACTACTCAAAGCATATTTCAAACGCAGCAACAGTCCTTACACCACCACACATCAGTATAGGCATGGGTTTTGCCGAGGTAGAAAAAGAAAGAAAAACATTCTACTGTCTTTTTATAAAGACAATGTAACCTCCAAAACACAGCAGTGAGAATGTCTAAAGTACCCAACTTGGGAACCCGGAGAAGATGTGTAGACAATATTAATGGTGCAAGGACAATGTGGGTAGTGCTTTACACCTCAAAGAAGCAGCTGTGGCGGCAACCAGCTCAAACCTTTACTTTTTATTTTTTTTAGGTCTGACATGATGCATTGATGACCATACATAAAAGCATAACTATATGCTCACCATTGTTTGTATCAATTTAAAATTCCTGAGGTTTGAAAACAGTAGCTATAAATTAAAATCATACTTAAACATACAGCAACACATTCCAGTTTTTCCCTAGATCTTATGTATAGGATTACTGGATTTAAACAACATTTCAGATTACGCAAAGTCTCTTAGCTGTTCTTCTGCTCTTGGTTCAAGAAGCCATTAGAGTCCAGATTGCCTCTGCCAGCTCCATTCAGATTCCTCTGCTGCTCTAGGACTTCTTAAAACATCACTCTTCTGCACAGGTATCAGAATAACAACCTCCAGATCAGTATTACGAAGATATAAAAGTTCTGAACTCATACATTGAAAGGCCCCTGTCTTAAATTTTGCAACAATCTTGCTCTTTGACTTACTGCCGCACCACCAATAGCACTGTAAATCTTAGTTTTGCTGCACATAGAACAGATCATTTGTAGGTTAAGTATTTGTAATTCAAATGCCTGTCCACAATTTAGATCAAAGGAATCCTTTACTGTTTCAAGACAAAATCAATATATTCCTATTCTGCAGAAAAAGATGTGCTGAATTCAGTCCAGGTAACTGATCACAGTGCCGCTTCTTGCTTTAAGTTCAGCTACCAAATAGCTTGAGATCTGGAAGATAAGTTCTGCATTTTATCCTTGTAAACTCCTAATCTCTTCCAGCAAGCAGATCTGAGAATCATTGGGTCACTGCGCTCTCGAAATCAAGCACATCAAATCATTAGTTTAGCATGCACATTATTGTGATTTTAGACTTTTTGTCCTGCTGTTCATTATCAGAACAGAACTGTATCTCACCATCAACTGACTGAAAATGGATTACCTACTCAGGAATTTTTAATTATATTTCTTTTATTGTCTTTCTAACCTCATCTCTTCTGAGAAAAGGTATGATATAGATGATGTCAAGGTAAGATAACAAGAACACAAATTCTTAATACAGTCAAGGCTTTTTTAAAATCTTTTTTTTTCTTCTGGGGATACAAAAGATAACATTTTAAAAATTAAGAACTGACAAAGAACATTCTTACCACAACTCTAAACCATCTTCCAGAAGATAGACATGTGGAGGCTGAGAAACATCTGTACTTAGCTGAATAACTGGAAGCAGAAAAGGATAAAGATTTTTGCTGTCTGCTCCCAGTCCCTATAAACAAAAAATGTAAAACACTTCAAAAACCTGAAATCAAGCATTTCAAGAATATCACTGAAAAAGATCTGTGATGCTGTTTTATTTGCATACGGTAGACACGCATTCACAAAATCAAAGATTGAACTTGTATCTATCTCATACAACAAAATAATGGGATACTGCTGAGCTTTCTCTCAACATATCTTGAGAAAATTACACCAGTGTTTTGAAAACAAGCAGCTCATCACTGGTCTACAAGAAAAAAAATGTTCCTAAAAAACATTCCCTGGTCATTCTCTTTCTGGTAAAAGTCAGAGCTCTAACATAAATAATTAAATGCTGAATAAAATGTTTTAAAGATGAAGAAAGTAATTGCCCTTCGGACCTTACCACGCACTAAATCTCTTGACATACCCTAAGAATCAGGAGAAAGGTTCATTTTCATTGCTACACAAAGATTCATAGACTGATGACAGTGATTTATTTTTTAAATGATCCGCGAGTCAAACACAAAGATGTCTTCCCAAGAATGCAGAATAAAGAATTTCTTCATCAATCCTTTAATAAGTAATTTAATTTTTTAAAAATAATCTAAAGAAAACCATTGTCAAAACTAATCATAATTTACAACTAATCCTAAAAGGAATAGAATTCTTAAATTGGGAACTACTGACTATTTTGTAATATTACTACTTAAGGGAACTGAGGGTAGTTAAATGATGCTTTTGCATAATTACTATATTTGGAAACTGTTAAGTTTAAAATCATTTGATGTTTCACAGTTAAGGCTTCTCTGTGGAACTGTTTATTCAAACAAACTTGTCTCAAAAGAAAAGGAATCTTCCATAAATTTGTCTAATGTCTTTGTGTCCACCTATGCTTTTGGCCTCCATGGAGGCCAGTAACAAAAAGTTCCATAATTTGTTTATTTGTTTGAACTAACTCCACTTTTGAAAAAAAAAAACAATTTTTCCTTTAGTTGTAATGTCTAGTCATTCCCCTTCCACTTTCTCTGAACTGTTAACCTCTATAATACTATCCTTTTAGCCACACATTTCTGCAAGTTCAAGATGACCTGCATATTCAGGCTGTTCCTGTATGAGCACTGCCCTATATCTTAGGATTACTTCTCTTGATCTTTGCTAGTCCTACTACATCTTTTTTGAGGTGTAACAAGCGCTGGAGAAGGTGGATGGCATATAGTCCATATTTAATAAGTGCTTAATAGCATGGATTCTGCAGGCAACATAACCATGTATTGTTTTATCCATCGATCTTTTCTCAGGAACATACTACATTTTACTTGCATTTTTACTGCCAACAGCACAGATATTTCTAGATATTTCAAGGTCAAGGATTATTTAATTATACTAAGATCTCTTCTTCACTTATAAGAAATTCAGTTAACTTCAGCTGTTATCACTGGATGAAGCATGCACCTAATAGTTTCTACGGGCTTTCAAAATTCTCTGCCAAGGTATTACAGTAAGGTGCTAAAGGAATTAGGGAATTTATTGTACATGTACAGAAAAACTGCAAAGAGACACAAGAATCAAGACCACCCAACCAGCTCATCCTGACTGCCATCACATGGCACACA